CTAGTTGAATTCATCTCCTTGAACTTTTATGCGGGTTAATTTTATTGGCTGGCTTTGCCTTTCTACATTGACAAGTAATGCAAATTTTCTGTTGTTTAGTTGTTGTTATTAGTACTATGTATTTTTTTCTAGTACTACATATACATTGTGAAAGTCCTTAGTTGAATTTGAGCTTACAAAGAGAAGTATAAATCCAAAGCAAAGTTTTGTAAACACTTGCTACGTTTTTAATGACTCCACCTAAATTGCCGTTCTAATCTCACCAGCTATAAAGTTAACCAATCGGAAAGGTTAAAATCACTTTCCTACAAAAGTTTATGTCGCATTCTGATGAAAAAATTTAAGTTATCTAAATTGTTAGATCCTAATTGGTTACGGGAAAAATGAATGCAGAATTGACTAATAAATTAACTAATTTCACCTTTGAAAAATTCAGAAAATCATGTATTGCTCTCAATCCGTGTATATTGGCTACTAACTATTAACTAAGGGGAGGTTTTGACGCAACAGTCAAAAGCTCGAACTCGTATGATCTTAAAAAATTTAAGAGGGCTGGATAAGTTTCTTAACTGCAAGAATTTGGACTCATCACATGCATGCCATATGGTGCCCAAAAAAAAAAATAAAAAAGATGTTCTTTTAGATTATGTCAGACTTTGAAGTCATGCCCAAAAAAAATAGAGAGAAATTAATTTGGTTAAAGACAGAATTCAAGACTTTGTCCACAAAATCTTGAAAACTAGAACGTGTTTGTTAAACGTCATGCACTCAATGCGATGGCTTCAAGAAATCACAAAGCCGATATGCAGCGTGGGTCATGCATGTCCACATTTATACGATATTTTTGAGTGAAAATGGTAAAACCAAAGAGGACTAAACTTTGCATCCCTTGACCATCGAAATTTCTCAATGGTTGAACAAAATATTGCATCAAAAGATTACAATACCTTTAGAAGTATAGAGACAAATTAAGTAGGTGTTACTGTCTTAGAACCAAAGATTAAAAGTATCGACTCCACATCTAATAAGTTCAAGAAGTAACTTGTGATCGACAATGAAGTTTTTGACGTACATTGCTGTATATGCTTTACATGTTCTATGGGCTATGGTATATGATGCAATGCGTTAATGGACGAAGTGAACATTCAATAACAACAAATTTAAGCTTCTATTGGGCGCCAATTAAGGGTAATCGTAGTTAGCTTCAGCTTCATATATATATTCTAAGTATATATATATATCCAAATTCTTTCGTTGTGGTTGGATCAGAGTAGATTCAGCAATCATTTACGGGAGAGACAACACGAAGGCACTCAGATTCCCATTGCAACGCCATTGGGATCATCATCACTGATCCCTTTCTTTGCGTAGGCCGGAATGATTCTCAATGTATTCAATGGCATATGCATTCGAGGCATCATTTGGTCATCAAACGTGGAAAAATTCATTTTCAATACAAGGAGACGATGACAATCAAACCATGATGGCATCCCTTTGTTCTTATAAGGAATGTGTTTTCCCACCACTGTTTCTATACCTTAACTTCTTCTCTATTTGGGTAATAAAAACAATGTCTAGGCTATAACAAATTCACACTGATCTTCACGTTTAGAAGTGATGAGTATAAGCGATCTTGTTTATTAATTAAGGGTTTTGAAAATCAAGTATTAATTTCTCATGAAGGCACACATTTTTGCATAATTTGTCACGTTACACCATGTTAGAGAAGAAAATACACTCTATTTTAGACAGGTTACTTCAAATTGTTTAGCAATTGAATTTCTGATACAAAAAGTGATGAGGATAAAACATGCAATTGTATATTGTAGCCGGTTAGGAGTCTTTGCGATCAAAATACTATGGTCCCGAATTTCTTTTAACAATTAATTACTTGGTGAAGATATAATGATATGGGTTTATGGTGATTTACTCGGTCTAATAACACATAGTAGTTAAAAGTAGAAGCCAAATGCAGCTGAATTGGCAAAGTTGCATACAAGCAGGCAGGAGCACTGACCTCCAATGGCATCACCAGAATGTGGCATAAGGAGTCTTGTCAAAACTTTGTATTCCTTAGGATTTTTCATTTATATCAATTGATTGTGAAATTAGGCTTTCTATATTTCTCTAGTGACTGGTCGGCAGAGAGCACAAGACAGGATTTCGTTTGTTTTTTATGCATAGTTTCTTAGGGTATTCAGATTTGTTTGTCTTTTCTTATTTCGTAGTTTGGACGTAGCTAGTTGCATGTTTGTGGGGTGAATCATACTGTATTTTATCCATGGATTCAACTAGTTAACTTCTTCAATTTCAGTCCTCCTCTATCATAGAGAAATACAAATATCTAGTCATTCAATTCTAGTAATCAGAAATAGAAACAAGAAGAAGAGTAAATTCTTAGCTTTAAAATTTTCAAAGTCATTATTCTGTTAATAGTTGTTTAGTAGGTCATCAAGAGTAGCCAAAAACGGAAGAAATAAAAAGAGGAAGGATTAAAAATTGACAAATTTATACTTTCTACGATTTAATGACTTGTACAATCCACATTAAGAATTAGACAAGAAAACCCTATTTTATTTCACCATTCATGAGTGTGGCTCACATATGATATGATGGAAATTCAAAAAACAAAAAAAATGGTGGTTGTATGTGATGTGGAGTTGAAGAAGAGAGTATCATCCACCATCCAAGTTAACTGGTAGGGGTATTAGCCATGTGATTATCACATTCTAATTTCACTCTTAAGCTCTCTCTCTCCCTCTTCGCCGTTATAAGGTTTAAAGGTTCATTTTAAATTAAAACAAAAAAATGTACTACTAGAAGAAAAAAAATACTCTCCTCTATCTAATAAACATATTTAGATCATAACGCCTGACTATTTATCCCTTTTCAATCGATGAAGCTTTGGTCTAATCATTAGTGACTAAGCTTAACATTTCAGAAATTATACAATTATAGGCTGTGGTTCAAATATCTCCTTCTCTTTTTTCTTTTTTTTTCGAAACGTTAGTTTACTTGCATTGATCTTTGAAAGAGAGAATTTACAATTCGAGCAAAGGGCCGATCATATGTACAACACGTGTTCAATGACACGGAGAAACAAAGAGTTCCTCATCCAACAAAATGCCTAAAGCATATGAGCTAACATTAGCACAAATATCCTTATCATCATAACTAGTTAAGTAAAAAGAGCACATTCGAAACAAAGACTTTAGACATAATATATCTTCAAGGACTGTTGACAATCTGCAGTCTGAGGATTTACCAAACTTAAGATGCTTCAGAAGGTCCTTGTTGTGAATTTGTATACTGATGTTGCTCCATTGTCTTTCCAATGCTTTGCAAAGGATCAGTAAAACAGCTGCGGCATCATCAATATTTTTGTCTCCCGAACTTCTGTCTTTTAAGGCCCACAACTCCTTTGCCTCATTTGGCATCCTAGTAATATCAACTCTTGTTGCTCCATTGTCTTTCCAATGCTTTGCAAAGGATCAGTAAAACAGCTGCGGCATCATCAATATTTTTGTCTCCCGAACTTCTGTCTTTTAAGGCCCACAACTCCTTTGCCTCATTTGGCATCCTAGTAATATCAACTCCAATTCCCAGCACTGCAGATCTTTGTAAGCTTCTGGTTGCCATCTTCAGAACTATGAGATCATGGCTTTCTTGTGCATGACAGTCCTCTTACAGGGGTGTCAGTGTTTCTGTTGTACTCCTAGAGTCCTTCCTCCTTTCTCAAATCCACCTCTTCCATGACGTGAATCTGTGAGGTATATTAGGTATTGGTGCTTTTATGGGCTCAAGAACGTTGTCTCCAAGTTGGGTACAAACACCAATTTTTCCAAGGGGCTCAAAGATTCCAAACGGACGGGGACTAGTAGGAGACGGGGCAGGGACGGTCATCAGTCGGACCGTCCCTGAACAGTGCACGGCCAAGATTTGGTCCAAAAAAAATTATACGGTCCAGATCACTTATTGTACCTTATTTTTAACAATGTGTGTGGGGTTCACAAAAATTTTTTCTAAAGTTACACGTTGTGCAAACAAAATTACGTCGTATGCAAACAAAGTTACGCGGTGTGCAAAATATACAAAATCGCTAGGAACGGTTGCAGGTGCCTGCCCGTGGTCCGGGACTAGTACAAACTGTAAAATCCGAAGACTAGGCTAGCTCTGAATTCCACAACTTTTAAGTTGCTTACTCTGATGGAGTTCTCGTCAGTTAGGCTTCACTTCCCGTTGGACTAAAGTTGAATGGGTTATACAAATGTTATTGTTGTGACAAACAAAAAAAAAAATTCCACAATTTTGGAAGCTTTGAAGTGTTTTAACGAGAGCAATGGATTTGAACCCAACAAGTTTGCCCAGAAAAGGTGATTTTGGGTTAAACATTGGTGACATATATGATGCATTGACATAGAGCAACTTTTAGAGGCCAGCTTTGTGGTCCAGTAAGACACGGACTTGGCCTTTTAAGAGACTAATTGGGCAAGTTTTTGTTTGCTTTTCCAGTGAGATATTAGTGTCAATGTATTATGAAGTATTGAAGCTGAAAACAAGGACCTGTTAATTGTTAAGCGAAGCCAAATGTCGTTAAAGCACTCTACATTAATTTACCAGGGTGCTGGCTAAAGCCTAAAATGCCAATCAACTGAAAATAATTCCTATAAGTTAGACTAATTGAATAACGTAAAATCCTGAGAGATGATTTCTGGTTAAGATAATGAACTTGTACTATGAGAAATAAGGAAAGAGCAAGGTTTGAAAGTCAAAATTGAATTGAGTATTGGTAGTAAAAATTTGTAATAAATGGTCCACATTTGCCTTCACGCAACCTTTGGGATGCCATTGCTGCATGGGCTCCATCTCCGTTCCCCACTGAAAAAGAGATAGTAATAGAAAAAATTTGACAAAAAAAATAGATAATCTTGCAAAGCCAAAAACCACCTTGATATGGGAGTCAAGCTATCACATATAATGCTGACTGAATCAATCATTGTCCAACAAGTCTAATGAACTAAACATACGGATGGCAGATTACAGCCATATTCAAGCACAGTTATCTCAACAAGAAGCAAAACCACCGACTCCTTCCATTTAAAGTACAATTTCATAATCCTAGCAGTAATTCTGGAAGTACATTTTACTACTTTCTCCTACCTTTTTTGGCGGTTTCACTGTTACAAATTATCCAAATTTAGATCTAATTTTCTGGGCTCTGTCGGTGAAGTTAGTAAAGCTGAGCTCTGATGTTTCTCTGACATTGTACCACGGTCTACAGCCCTTTAATGCTTACATATTGACCATGGTTTCAGTGCCATTTTCTTCACTCTTTCTGCAAGTCTCTGCTAGACTTTCAGCTTGTATAGTTGCACTTCTTGTAGTTATTTGGGCCCTTTACTTCAAGACCAGCTTCATCCCTCGTTCTTCCTCCCAAGAAGACCTCATTTATGCTGTAACATCTCTTTCTAATCCAAGTTTTTCACCATGCATTCTTGTAATTTGAACTAAATTTGAAGTGGGATTTCTTTTTCTTCTTTTTTTTTTGGGCAGATCCTGCATCCTTTGTTAATGGTGATTGGTTTCATTCTTGTTAGTGGAGAAGGTAATGCAAATTCTGTTGATGGGATTTGCTTTTGTGGAGCAAGAAATGCTTTTAATTGTTGGTTTTCTAACATTTTGCTTTCTTTTTCAGCAATTTTGGTGCACAGGTGGTTGCCTGGTTCAAGAAATCTGAAAAAATCAGTGCACTTGTGTCTTCAAGGTTTGGCTTTGGGTTCTGGGGTTTTTGGGATTTGGACAAAGTTTCATAGTCAAGAGGGGATTGTGGCCAATTTCTACAGTTTGCATTCTTGGATGGGTCTGATTTGTATCACTCTGTTTGGTGCTCAGGTTCTTTACTCATTCCAGAAATTCGGATGCATTTTGTTCTTCATCGGTTTTATGCTAATACATTCATTAAATTAAAACCATTATTATTTGTTTAAATTTGTGAATGCCACTATTCAAATTGGAACATTCTTTACAGGAAAAAGCGGAGAAAAAAAGGGAACTTTTGCATTCTCTATTCATGCTAGAAGGATCTGTATGCTTTTCTTTATTGTGAAAATATGTTTCTGTTCCACTGCATTATTTCAGAATGTTGCTTGGACGGCTTTTGTAGTTAGGTAGAGTGTACCGTCTTACTTTTGGATTAAAGCAAATAATTAACATTGGTACGGTGGAAACCTGAATGTTGATGATGAAGAGGATAATATAAATAAGAAAAATGTTATTTGCACTGTCATCATTTATTTTATCATATAGTCTAATAAATGAAAATTACATGATGAAATTATGCCATGTGCATGTACTTTAGCCGTTCTGTGCTTAAACAATTTAGCTTCATAAATATCAAGCTCATTGATAGATACATACATACATTCATAAAACAATATGTATGTATATGTGCATGTATCTGTGTATATAAAATAATGTTTTTGCTGTAAACATCAAGGTGCTGACCTTTTAGCGGCTAAAATGAATTATTCCTGAGAAGAAGTCTTCCTATTCAAATATTCAATTTCTGAAAGAAAGACTGATATAGTTTCCAAAATTCATAGGAACTACACATAGATAGCAACAGATTTGCAATACGGTAATGAAAGATGGCCCAAGTGAAGGATATAACTTTGTCTTCTTTTCTTTTTAACTTTTTCTGGTTTTTTTTGTTTTGTTGTGGGGGGGAGGGGGGGTTTTGGTTGAGTGAGGAGGGGATATCAGTGAACTCAAGGTTGCTATGATGTTGCATCCATAGATATTTAGGCAGGCTTTCATCATGAACAGCATGCAACTAGAGTCAATGAGAAAGAATTGCAAATTGTGAATTTGTGAAGCTGGTTTAATCCGGAAACTAACAATTTCTGCTGCAACTGAAAATTTTGAGTTTGCTTTGTCATTTAAAGTTCTAACACATCCAAAACACAACAATATGGCAGTCTGTTTTAAGCCAAACGTTTTGAATTGTCAAAATGGGACAATGATGGTTAGTAATCAATTTTTGCTTATTATAGACGTCCTGATCTCGTTTGCAGTGGTTGCTGGGCTTTCTGAACTTCTGGCATAAAGGAGAGGTGCGAACCACGAGGGTGAGAGTCTTGTCATGGCATGTCTTTCTTGGCCTCTACACATATGCTTTGGCAGTGGTAACAGCTGAGACAGGGCTTCTGGAAAAATTGACATTCTTGCAAACCAGAGGAGATGTATTGAGACGTTGCACCGAGTCGATGGTTGTGAACGGTTTAGGACTTGGATTGGCCCTTCTGAGTGGTATTGTAATATTAGCAGCAGTTTCACCAAAGCATGAAGCTCCACACTTTAAGATGATGTACACAAACAACAAATGGTTGTCTTCTCAGTAACAAGTAAACCATCTATTGCTTCTACGCTTTTATTTTTCCTTGGTACAACCTTATTACAATAAATATCATCTCCAAATGGCCAACATTCACCCGGTTAACTTGCACGTAATCAGCAAAGATTTATGGGGCCTGAGCCAACTGGATGAAGAACGTAAACAGGGAAAGGGTAGTTGTACTGAAATTCCAAGTTGGCCAGGAGATCCCGCCCATTTGTTTTCTTTTGTAAGCGTTACATATTGCATGAGAAATAGTTTTGCAATCCTTGACTAGAGTTACCACATAAACTTTGATCCACATTTGAGGTTCATAATGTCGTCAGCTACTTTGGATTCAGATGTCAAAATAATTTTGTGGAATTGATCCCTTGTCTTTAACAAGTTGCAGACCAGCTCTCATCCTCTGAAGTTCTGCCACCAAGCTTATCACTGATTCATTCCTAGATTTCTCTCTTTGTAGATTTATTCTAGTCCTCTATCAATTCTGTTATCGAACAGTCCATACATGGAAAAGCCCAACTCGCAAATATTTAGGGTCAAGAAAGCATGCTAGAACCTACTATGGAAGTCTCTTATCCAGGTATTCAAGAATCAAGAACGTTAGACTATACTGGACGATAACAGAGTTAGCCAAATACTGTGGAGTGCATTCAATGTACAAGATGTAATTTACTCAGCAAACCAGTTGAGCAATTACAAGAAGATAAAGAAAAGAAGGAACTCACCAAAGTACTTGCCGGATGCAGTGTGTTTTTTTGTTGTACAATTTGAAAAATTTTTATCGATGGACAATTTTAAGTATCTGACTTGTGAATGATTTAGTGTAATAATTGGACAAGATGTGATCAAAAAGTAATTAAAGGGAATAAAATTTCGTTCATGGGTTCAAAAAAAATTTTTTTATTTTTTTTTGGTTCATAGACATAACTACATCTCAAGTATTTCATAAATTTTAGAAGGAAATAATTTCCATGTGAGAGAGGTACTGTTTGCGGCCGAAATGCTGCAGCGGTTAGTAATTGTGGAATACACGTCTAATTTGCTTGGAAACCATGGTTGTAGGTCTTAGATTGACGATAAAGCCAGGAAAAGCCGAGACCTAGCCAAGGTTCTTGAGAAAGTTGGACGAATGTGGAAGAGGGACCAAAACATCAGATTTCTGGCCGCTGAAGTAGCAACAACTGCTCCTAGAGATCTTCTGATGCCTCTTGGATGTGGAGGAAAGTACTTGCATTGAGATCTTTTGCTCAACCTTACGTTCAGATAGTCATAGGGAACGGACAAATGACAAATATTTAGTTCTGAATCATGGCATCCAGTTGGTCTTTTGTCCATGGAGTTTTCTGGGAATCTGCTCCACTCTTTTGGCTGCACAATGTATCATTCAGCGATCTACTGAAGGTCAATTGAAATGTCCTACTGGAAGACAAGTTACTAGAGAAGTCAAGTAAATGGTGGAGGCAACTCCTGGTGCATTGGCTCCACTGTCTGTGCAGGCTGATCATCTTCAATGGGTGATAGACAGTGCTTCTGGTGTATTTTCAGTAAAATCAGCAATGGACAAGTTGAGGTTGCAGGGGTCTAGAGTATACTGATATCAGCTGGTATGGGGAAAAATAATTATTCCCTGATTTTGAGAGGGACCGACTGAGGAAATCGGGGATCGACTAAATGAGTAAATGTGTGTCATTCTCCGAAGCTGAAGAGAGCATAGAGCACTTGTTGATTGTAGAGTCTCATATAATGTATGGAAGAAAGTAAAGTGGGATATATTGGAGAAGGAACTTCAGTTGGTGTCTCACCATTGGATTGGCAAGACATTTGTCCAGCAATTCAAAAGGCTTGCTTTTTCTCTTAGAATGAACTGGAGAATCTATCTCATGGTTGATCCTTGGTCATACCCGTGTGTACTTAATCTCTTACTATATGATTTAGTTCTCAGTGGATATAATTCAAAGGTAGGTTATGTAAGTTATTTTAGACACTTCTTCTACCTCTAAAAAATTTTTGTTTCGTGACAAACTCCAACATGAGATGAGGGGCACTTTTGTTTCGTGTAGAAACTTGTAGTTTTAGTAAAATCCCATGACATGCCCCTTAAAGCAGAGTGTATTTGGAAGGCCTAGCATTGCTACATATAAATATCATCTTAACCAAAGAAAGGGCAATTAGAGCCTCATATGAATTTGATTTGATAAGGTGTTAATTGTTAGTAATTTTATTGTTAATATTCCTTTTTATCCTTGCCAAATATTGCTTTAATTTGCTTTAATTGTCAATATATATTTATATTTGGTATTTGGATATAATTTCAGAAATTGGAGCAGAAACCTCTTGAGAAGATTATTGTGAAGCTTTACACAATTATGGTGCAAACCAACGAGAAAGAATGGAATTGCATTTGGGAATTCAATTTGGCTAGACAACATATCAAAGTTGGTGGGGACCGCAAATAAGTTGTATTGTCTAAAGTGTGCTTTCTTTGCACATTTGTGGTTTTGCTTTCTTGTTGGTGAACGTGTGCACTTGGTCAAAAAGAGAACCGACAATTGCTTTTATTTGAGTAGAGTGGAATTGATTGTGTAGAGAAATGATGACCTCTTTGGTGGACGTGGGGTGATGTCTCCATTTGGCTGATTTTTTATATATGAAGACATTAGACGTGAAAGAGGGCTATTAGACTAGTTTTGGAGTTTTCTCTCAATATAAGCTCCGTAGGAGGATAGAGGAGTTTTTAGTTTTTCTCTCCGAGGGATGTTCTAGAGGAGAGAATAGGGAGTTGTTTTGGTTTGTTGAATTCTATTGTGCAATTTTCTTATTTTCTTCCGAGAGCTTTGTTATTCACTCTCTCAATTATCGAAGAAAGATGATGTCTTTAAATTCAATTAAATTGCGTAGGAATTTTCTTATGAGGCGTGGCTAATTTTCTCCTCTAGTCAAGGATCAACGCGAAGACGCAGTCCCAAATATCTGTGAGATCTAATTAATTTTACGTGTTCCTTAAATTGTTAATATTTGCATGTTTTCTATTTTAATTTCCATGGGATTATTTTGTTAATTGGATATCAAGGGCCCGATGTGCAATTTGACTTATTAATCTCCTGTCAAATTAATCAATTAAATCCGTAATTGTTTAGTTGGTTAATATTAGTGACAACTAGTATTTTCACATACTAGGAGAACATGCAATCTGATTTAAATAACCCTCGTAGCGTGTTATTAATTTGGGTTAGGCTTTTCTAGTTTTTAATGCAATTAGGAAATTAATTCCTACGGTCGTACCTAGGAGTATTTCCTGGTTAGAGGTAATCAATGGTCGTACCTTGGTTATCAATAAATTAAGGAAAAGCTGGTCGTTAGAGTTTATCGGCGACTATAACTAGCCTATTAATAAAATTAAGTGAACCTTCTTTGCATCAATGATCGGATGAATGGACTGTGTCTGCGTAGTTGTATCCTTGGCTAGAATTTATTTATCATTTATTTAATTGCTATTTACAATTGTATTAATTAATTAATTATTTTTGGTTAATTATTTTTAGTTAAATTGTTTAATTATTTATTTTATATTTCATCCCGATAAAAATCCCCCGTGTCTCGAATTTAAAAAGGAATCAAATTTTTCCCAGTCCCTGTGGATTCGACCCTACTCACTACTATACACAGAAAATTCATTTTTCTCGAGTAGGTATTTATTATTGCACAGGAACGACACCTGTCATGATTCTTCTGAATTAAGAAACCAGAGTTGATCAACATGAGATATTTTCGCTGCTGATCATTAATTAATAGCATAATTTTTCAATAAGCTCACTCAATGAGATGCTGACGTAGAATATAAGTAAAGGCAAGGAACTTGTAAAAGCCAATGTTGTTAAACTCGAACCGGAAAGCGACTTGATTAAACTATTGGGTCAGGGGTTAACTGATCGGATCGATTGGACCTTTCTCAAAAACTCGCCAATGTCAGCATGATGTTATAATTATTTTATATTTTTATAAATTTCAAAAATATTGAAATTAAGTTCTTGGTTATATTTGACCAATCATAAAAAATGTTCCAAAAATATTAGACTTGCAATCAAATATACACCTAATAATTATATATAAAAACATAAATTCATGATTAAAATATACCCATTCTCCAAAACTACTTGAAAAACTAAATTAAAACAAATTAATGCAAGTTGGAATCACTAATGTTAAATTATTGAGATCATAGGGATGAAAACATCTTGAATTAGAGATCATTTAGGAAAACGAGTGATTTTGATATTTACACTAAATGGGTGACGTTTTCTTATTCGCATTAATAATTAAAAGTACTACAATTTAGGTAACTCAAATTATGTCTAGAGAAAAGCAGAAAGAAAAGTTTGAGAATCGAGTCAACTAGTCGAATAGGGTCAGTCATTTAGTCGGTTTTGATGGATTTTTAACCAAAACGATTTTATATTACAAATCAATTTGAAAAGAAGCCCGGTTCACGGTCGAATCGATCGAACCGATTGATCCGATCCGAGTCTAACAACACTGGTAAAAGTACAAGGCCAAGAAAGTGTACCTATTAGGTGGTTGCAATTAAAAAAGATTTAAGTGTACAATTTAGGTAACACAAACTATGAAATTTTGTTAAAAAAAAACAAAAACTAAATTACTACTCAGATGCACAACGATTGATTTTGTTTGTGAGCGTCAAGATGATGTTTGCAAAAAGCTCGTTGTGAGCATTAACCGATCATCCGAGTGATTCAAGCTACCAATTAATAGTACTTGAAATCTAGATAACCAGGTACTCCTAAGTGTCACCTTATATGAGTCACATTGCTCAAGCACACAGCTTAATGTTTCTTTGTCATTTATGTTTGAGAACTTTACAATTTAAATTTTCCTTTCTTTTCTGTCTTTCTTCATTCTTTTATTATTATTAGGGCAAAAAAGCTCAGCGGCATTAAACTATTGTTCAAATCATATTTTGACTATCGAACTATTTTTCGTTAATAATTGGCCACTAAACAACTTAATCAGTAAACTCGTAACCATTTCGTCGGTAATTACTCTTAATTTTTGAAATTAACATTACACGTGGCAAAGTACAGGGGAATTTTGTCCAACAATTTACTGACCCTATAACTCAGTTTTATTAAACCATCAAAGAGAAGGGAAGGGAAAATCTTTTGCAGTGTGTCTGTCTCTTTAGTCTCGAAGCGGTAGCTCCGTCTAGTCCACTCCTCCACCGTCGCTCTCTCTCTCACCTTCATCAGTACTCCCTATGCCCTTCCTTCTCTCTCCTCTTTCCTTTCCCACCATCCTATCTCTCTTCTCTATTGCTCACTGACTCCTCTTCTTCCTCCTCCTCCTCTTCCTCCCATTACCTCCTTCAGTCCGTCGCCTCTTCTTGCCCCAACCTCCGTCACCTCCGCTTCTTGGCTGAGCCCGTTTCTGGGTTCTCTCTGCTTCCCCTTTCCAATTATTGTCCTCATCTCTCTTCGCTCACCATCACTCTCTCCAGACCTCTCTGTTTCTAGTGGCTCGCACCTCTCCGCGCTCTTAAAGACCTCTCGGTCTTTATAATCGAAAGTGAAACCGAATTGTTCAGCTACAACGGCTTTGCTTCAGTTCTTGATGCTGAACTCAATTTAGAGTCTCTTTCCCTGTGTGGAAGTCGAGGGGTTGATTATGGCCTCAATTTTCTATGGAGGAATTGCAAGAAACTGGAGAAATTGAAGCTAAAAAATTGTGAGTGTGTGAGAGAGATAATGTGTCTTTTTCAGCATTTATCAAGGGATTAGAGACTCTCAAAGAAATGGAATTGAGGACTTCTAGGACTCTAGCGGATGGGGTTTTATTAAAATTAGCGGAGGGCTCTGTTTCTTTAAGTTCTTTGTTGGTCTACGATGGCGGTAGTAAAGAGGGCTTGCTTCAATTAATTAGTCAAGCAGGGCTGACGTGCAAAATCTTGATTTGAGGTTGCCTCTTGATCTCGACAACGATCATTTGATAGCAGTGGCTGAGAATTTTGAGAATGAAAGTTAGTTTAATTGGCTTGCACTTTTTTTTTCTTTTCAGTTGATAGGTTTATGTAAGTAAACGGTCAGTAAATTGTTGATAAAATTATCCCTGCGTTTTGCCACGTGTAATGCTAATTTTAGAAATTAAGAGCAATTACCGACGAAATGGTCACATGTTTACTGATTAAGTTATTTAGTGACCAATTATTAACGAAAAATAGTTTGATGGCCAAAACATGATCTAACTAATAGTTTAATGGCCGCGTGAGGTTGTTTGGATAGGCTTGATTTCAAATAAAAAAATTTATTTCATAAATTTCAACCACCTTTTTATCTTTTCAATCACTTTTTTATCTCACATACATCATATCACAAAAAGTACTACAATAATTATCTCAACTAAATCATCCAAATAAACTCTTATCCAAACAAACATTGACATCCGAGGATATCTAGTTTAATCTCCTTCGACAGGGAAGGGCTAGCTACATCCAAAAGAATCTTTGACAATGAGATGAAAAAAGAATATATGAAGGACAAAAAGGAAAAATGAAATTCAGAATGAGAAGGGATGTTATTTATTTTTGAAGAATAATTTACCTTAATCTCCAAATAAAATATTACTACAGCTCCAATTATCCACCCCTAAAAGCGAAAATAAAACAATAAAAAGTAGGAAAAATGGTCAATTTAGTCCCTATACTTTTTTTTACTGTCAATTTAGTCCTTATATAATTTTTTTGGCCAATTTAAACCCTACACTTATTTATCGGTTCCAATTAAGGATCTCCGCGGTGGCGCCACCTTGTAATTGCGGTTCAACGTCTAATTGACCACTTATGCGGGGGCATTTCTGGTACTTCACTGTTGGGGCTCCTCTTCAGAATTAAAAATCAAAATCAAAAAGTTACCGGTGTAATCTTTATCACCACTGACAAAAATCCAAACCTCAAACCTCAACATTATCTTGCAAAAACCGACCGAAATTGACTGAAATGGTGATGAA